GTGCCCGATGCTCCTAGTGTATGTTATATTTTAAGACGACATCTGATATACTCTTACTTGATAGACTTGATACTCTCGTATCAAGTTACAGGTAAAAATTAGTTATGTTAAAAATTAAAATATATAGTATTTTCTATATTAATTCACGCAAGCAAAGCTGTAGTCTGTTAGATATAAATACTGGAAACAAGGACAAAACTATAGAAAGCAGGATAAAACGAAATCAGTTCCTTTATTTATTTTTATTTCCATGATTCTAATGATAAAATTCTCAGTCTGAGAATTTTATTATATCTGAGAACCATCGAACATCGATTAAAACTCCTAATAGATAAAAACAAGCGTTATTGCGACGCATGACTCTCTATTCACCTTTCTCTATTTACATTAATTTGATATAATTACATAAGATAAATAAAAAGAGCTAGAAAAAAATTCGTCACTAGAGCGTCGCCGAAAAACGTGGTGAATGGCACGAGCGCGACTCTTGAATAATGATTAAATAATAAAATATCTCGTTTATATAATGTTTGTATTATGTTCAATGCGTAATCTAAGATCTCCATTCGCCGGCAAAATTCATCATTTATAAGAAGATATCAAAATATCAGTGTAGCAAAACTATCACTGAGCTGTAGCCTATTTGGGTCACTGCGACACACTTGGTGAAAACATATTTCCATACTTTATCTTTTGTTTTATATTTAAAAAAGTGTAAATAATTTGTAATTGTATAAACTCTATATATATATATATAATATACCAGAGGGAGACTTGGTACAAAAGTCGATTGCTTGGGTACCTCTGTCCCATTCGTGTTTCTACCGTGAAGCAGTTGTGTTTGCATGGCTGTGTTTCAATTTGAAGGGTGGGATATGGCGTTAATTTACAGGGTACAGAGGAACAACACCTTAGTCCTCAGAAATGGCAACGCATGGGGGGTATCATGGGCGAAACAGTATACTCTGTTATGTCCATGGTACTGCTCTTGTCTATAGGCGACGGTTACCACTTTCCATCAGGTGGGCCGTCAGCTTGTTTGCCATTCTAAGTTGTATAAAAAAAATTAATTTATTAATTTACGTGTGTCATAAATGGCTCTAATAAAGTGTTTATCTATCTATCTATCAGTGTTTTGCTGTTTAAGGACAAAGCAATAAACTGCTGCTGTTTTTTTTTAATGGGTGATAATGGAATGGTATTCCCGTCTGCGTTAACGGTATACGCTGGCGAGGCACCAGTGAGGGATGATAGGGGACGAAAGCAGGTCAGTTAGCCCATTGTGATGAATTTCACTAGAATTAACCACGACGGTTTCCAGGAGGAAACACGTGGAGGTCGACCTGATAGGGTGTATAGGAATACATGTTAGTTATGGGTCAGTTAGACTCCATTACTAACAATGTTGTTGGCCACAGATGGCCTTAACAGCTTCACCAAGCGCGTGTGCAGGGGCAAACGTGGATGGTACTCCAAGCCCACGAGAGGGGAGCGATAAAATATCGACTCTTACTTATGGACTGCGGTGTACGCCCAAAGGCGCCAGAGCGGTTCGGACCTCAGCTTACATCACCGCACTTCGACTCCCGTCGGTCTCGAGTCGATTTGTCGTAACGAGTGAGGAAGTGGAGTCGGTGAGATGCGCTCGGGCGTAAACGTGAGGTCTTCGTCCCCACTGGCGGGGACGTGTGCCGTGACGTGTGCTCTGTGTCTGTGTGATTACGCGTGACGAGTGTTCCGTGGTGGGGGGGGGGGGGGGGGGGCTTTTAATTATCCACTGTTGAACATAAGCCTTCCCCTTAGGCGGTTTTGCCAGTAATAGCTTTGCAGGTGGGTTGGCAACCGCAGTTAACCTTTGGTGATATTTTAAGAAGGATGCTGCTGTCTCTGTATCTGCTGGATTCGGAAATTTTCTTTTTTATCTGAAACTATAATATTTTCAAACTGATCTCATAGAAATTTTATCAAAAAAGGTTCAGTGGTTTAGTTTTTAAATCAAAATTACTGGTTTTGTCACAAATGAACTCTCTTTTTTCTGGAACACAATCTAAAATTATTTTCGTTTGTTGTAGTTTTATTAGTAATACGGAAACATAGGCCTGTGTGTCCAACTCGCACTTGACCGCTTCCTTTTATACTTGGCACACTTAGTAAACTATCTTGAAATGTCTTTCTATTGAAATAACAGTGCATTGAACAAAGTAGCTTAAACAAAGAGCTATTTTTCATTTTTAGTCTGTTTTATTTTTAAACTAGCTTTAATCCCGACTTCGCCCTTCCCCAGGTAGCAGTTATTCGTCATATTGGCGTCAAATTGCAGCAATGGGCAGCAGCGTCCCTCTTAAAACATTATCAAAAGCTAAACTGCGGTTGTCAACCCGGCTGCCAAGCGTGACAACTATTTGACCACCCCCCTCCCCCCGCCCCTATTATGAGGGAGGCTATGTTCAGCAGTGGACAGCTATTGGCTGATACAATACAATAAATGTCATATGTCTTCGGTCGACTGGTTGACAACGCTATGGCTATATGGGTTAAATCCACCATTTACACTTTCTAGGTATATTAACATCATCATTATATCAGCCTTTAACTGTCCACTGCTGAACATAAGCCTCTCCCATGGGGGCTTTTGCCAGTAGTTGCCACGCTTAACAGGCGAATTGGCAACCGCAGTTAGCTTCGATGTCTTAAGAGGAACGCTGCTGCCCATCTCTCGCCCTCCCTTAGTCGCCTGTTACCCACGGGAAAAGGTGGTCTATCTATGCCAGGATCACACAAAACTTTTTAGGTATATTAAAATTTAATAAATTAATAAATTATCCTCCATTACTCGACAAATCACAATAGTACAATATTTAAGGGAAATGGGATTGTTAGTAATGGAGACAGAGAATCCCATAGCTAGCAATATACCCAACCAGGTCGACCTCCTCCCGGTTCCCCTTGGAAACTATCATGGTTAATTCCTGATGAATCCATCATGATGGGCTAACTGGCCTGTTTTCATTTTCATCGATCACCCTTCACTGGTGCTCCACCAGCGTATACCGGTAGCGTAGATGGAGCTGCCATTCCATTTTCATCCATCAGGAAAAAAAAAAGTACAATATTTAATTGTTGTAAATATTTCTTATGAAATTTACATTAAAATAAGTAACAAGGTCGTTTGCAATTTCTATTTTATGGGGACTTGCGACGCGAAGCAATTCCAAACGGCTGTGTTGGGTAATACACAATCGATTGTAATTATTCGCTCGACTACGCTTGAACGCTGTGTGCAATCCATAATTTCATATCTTTGTTCTCAACACGATTCGTAGATTGAACTACGTGACGCATACGGCTCACCTTAAGATAAATGTTTAAATAATAATACAGGAATATTTTTGTAGGATGATAATAGAATGGTAACCCTGTCTGCGCTAACGGTATATGTTGGTGAATCACCAGTGAGGAGTGATAGGTGAGAATAAAAAGGCAGGTCAGTTAGCTCATCGTGATGAATACACTTGGTATTCAGCACGATAGTTTCTAAGGAGAACCACGTGGAGGTCGACCTGACAAGATATTATTGGAAGCAATGGGGCTGCCCAACGAATAATATATTTATTTATTTTACACTTTATTGCACCAAGTAAAAAGAAAAAAAACAAATACAGTAAATATTAATGAGAAGTGATACAAAAGGCGGCCTTATCGCTAAGCAATCTCTTCCAGACAACCTTTGGGTAGAGGACAGTGAGAAAAAGACAAAGGGTAGGTGGCGCACTATTATATAGATATTATCACATATATACACTACATATACACATACAAATATATACATAAACATACATATACTTAATAGCACACATAAAACAGAAGAAAACGATGGAGGAAAATGAAGAGAGAACACAGGAAAATAGTACTAAAGGGAAAGGTAGTAGGATTTAACAGAGGTTTTGAAGCTAGTAAGAGTTTGAGCGCACCGAATAGAGGTAGGCAGAGAGTTCCACAGGCGAACTGTCTGAACAGTAAAGGATTTAGAATAAAAGGAAGAAGAATGAGTGGGAAATTTGAGGCAGAGGTTATTGACACTGCGTAGAGTATGATCATTAGCCTCAGTGACTAGTAGGATGAAATAGATATACTTAACAAAAATCTAATAATAAGTACCTATTCGTATCCATGTTATTGTAAACTTCAAACTAAGAAAGTTTTTATTGCAGTTTGTTTGGAAATTTCCAAGTTGCATAATAAGGAAGCATTGTTGAAGTACGTACGTAAATATTTTTTCTTCTTCGTAGAAAGCGTATAGAGACTTGTTTACTTATTCATAAGAACAAAAACCTACTACATACCTATTTTATCTATAGATATGTTTTGTCACTCTCTTTCAAATTGAGAATTTAGCGCAAAAGCAAAAAGACCAATATAATATAATATGAATCGGGAAGTAAATACCAATATAGTACTTAATTAACAGAGGGAGACTTTATACAAAAGTCGATTGCTTGGGTACCTCTGTTCCATTCGTGTTTCAACCGTGAAGCAGCTGTGTTTCGGTTTGAAGGGTGGGATGTGGCAGTGAATTTACTGGGTACAGAGGAATAACGCCTGAGTCCTCAGGAATGGCAACGCATGGGAGGTGTACCATGGGCGAAACAGTATACACTGTTATGTCCATGGTACTGCTCATGTCTATAGGCGACGGTTACTACTTTCCATCAGGTGGGCCGTCAACTTGTTTGCCATTCTAAGTTGTATAAAAAAAAGAAAAACCCGCTCGTATTGAATCCGACTGGTATGGGCGATATTGCAATGTGTGGTCAGTAATATACAGAAGAGCTCGATATATAGATATCGGATATTACCCGTGATAGTACGTGATGTCCATGATGCCATTTCTAAGAACTGTAGTGTTACTCCTACACCACTATACCCTTTAATTTCACTGGCATATTCAAATCTTTAAATATATATATATTTTTTTTTATTAATTAAAAACCTGTCTCCAGAACGCGGCGAGTGCTGCCCCCCACGGACTGATGATGCATTCTTACTCCGGTTCCTGAGGGCGCGCCGCTCTGTGCCTGCGCGAGCGCACAGGCTGGTCAGTATATAATAGGATAACTACTTTATATAAAGATCATGTCAATCAAGTGTAATGTAAGACCTATTCTTTTTTATACCATTAAGGTGGCAAACAAGTGGCCCACCTGATGGTAAGCGATTAACGTAGCCTATGAAGGACTGCAATATCAGGGACATTACGCGCGCGTTGCTGACCCTGAAGAAACCTCTTTAACCTTTCTCTGAAGAACCCCATGCTGTAGTCTCTTCGAAAAAGCTCGGTAGGGAGGTCATTCCATAACCTAAGCGAGGGGAAGGGATTGTTACTAACTCCATTACTAGCAATATACCCTATCAGGTCGACCTCCACGCGCAAATCATCGTGGTTAATTTATTGTTGAATTCTTCACTATGGGCCAACTGATCTACTTTCATCCCCACCTATCATCTATCACTGATGCCCCGTCAGCGTATACCGATAGCACAGGCGGGGTTACCATCGCATTTTCACTTATTTTCATAACCTGAGCGTTCGTGGGAGGAAATATTTCCGAAACATATGTTCAGCAGTGGACGATAGATGGGCTGCAATGATGATTATGATATTATTTTAATAAAAAATTATAATCAAGAAGTCACGACGCAAACTGTCATATAACTACTTTTGTTTTTCAGTTAGTCCGCTACTGCAATTTCCGGGAACAGAACCCGCAACTGTGGCGCGACCAGGATTGGTTCAGATTCAGTCGACTGGGCAACGTCTTCGAGGGCGTACTATTCGACCGACCCGATGTTGGTAGACTAATTATTTGCAGACTCGGTAAGAATTTTTGAAAAAATTCGGTCCATTTCATTAGTTCAAAAACTAGTCAGTAATAAAGTAATGCCATAATTTGATATTGTTCTAGGTTTATGGGACCCGGATCAGTTACCAGCAGAAGATCTCATCAGTGCCTGTCTATTACTCCTCGAAGTGGGCATCATGCAGCCCAAACTTCAGATCTTGGGTGGTACAGCGTTGGTAGACTGCAAAGGGATCACCATGCATCATATAAGGCATATCACGCCGTCTATAGTGTTACAAGCCATTAATGTTATGGGGGTAAGTCCTAATATTCTAAGATTCCGCTACTATTTTCTGGAGGAATAATATTTGTTAATGAATCTTGGTTTAAATAAAAACTAACTGGGAACAGACAGACAGTTCTCAGTTAGTTGCAACCTAGGGTTGTCAGGTAAAAATAAGTAATATATTTGTCAAGTAAACATATATATATATCCCAACGAAATCTGCGGGAAACAGCTAGTCAACATATAGATTTTTTTAGTTCTGGTGTTATCTTTACTTTTTTTTTCAATTGCATTCCAGTTCGCGTTTCCCCTCCACCAGCGCGGGGTGCACGTCATCAACTGCTCCAGAGTATTCGAGACTTTATTTCACTTCTTCAAGCGACTGGCGCCAGCTGACGATCTATGGAAAAGGGTCTACTTCCATGGCTATAATTGTAACTCGTTACAAAGGTATTACTATTAGAAAAAAAATTTTGCTTCAACATAGATAAGTTCCAAGATACAGAGACATACCTAACATCTTATTACTAGTACGTGAATCCGAATGATTTTGTTATTCGAATAATTAGTAATTGGGGGGAAAGTAATTGTTAGTAATGAGGCCTAACTGCCCCATTGCTAGCAATACATCAGGTCGACCTACACGTGGTTCCCCCTGAAAAATTATCGTGGTTAATTCTAGTAAATTTATCACGATTGGCTAACTGACCTGCTTGTTTCATCCTCACTTATCATCCTTCACTGGTGCCACGCCTGTGTATACCGATAGCGCAGACGGGGTGACCATTTCATTATCACCCATTAAAAAAAAATTAGTAATTACAAATTTTATAAATCGGCTACTAAATTAACAATATATTCATTTTCGTATTCGAATGATTTCACCAATCACTAATACGATCCAAACTCTTCTTTTCATTCAAGAGTTTCCTCTTGTCGGTGCAACTAATTCATGCATCTTCCTCCAGCCAGCTCTATCCCAGGCCATATCCTTTATCTCCCTATACGACATGACGCCTAGTGTTTCCTTTATCTGTCCCATGTAGTTAATCCTCGGTCTTCCTCTTCCTCTTTTGCCCTCTATCTTTCCTTCTATTATGCTCTTAAAATTATTACGATCCAAACTACTAATAATAAAAACAACGGCGGTTCCCTGCATCTAAAAACATTTGTTTCGAAAATTGCTAAATATACCTACTTCATTAGCAACACTATCGACTGTTAACAAGAAAGAAGGACATTCCAGCCATCGGGTCAACTCGGCTGCGTTCGTACCTACTCGTACATGAGCAAACACATCGTACATGAATCATTTGTACAAAGTTTTATTATGCAATCATCATCATCATCATCATCATCTGCTTACCCTTATCCCAATTATTATATTTAGTATGTTTTTATCCATATTACAAAAAGATTTGGCCTATAGTTTTATAACCGGCCGCCTGCCTGACGTCCACCTTCTTTGGGAATTATATCCAATAATTTTATGCAATAAAGAATAAATAAATCAATAAATATCTTAGATCTTAGGAATGGTAACATATGAGGGCGTCATAGTATATTCTATTATGTCCATGTGCTATTCATATCTGCATATAGCGACCATAACTTTCCATAAGGTACATTGTCAGCTTACCAAAGGGAGACTTTCTACAAAAGTCGATTGCTTGGGTACCTCTGTCCCATTCGTGTTTCTACCGTGAAGCAGTTGTGTTTGCATAGCTGTTTCGATTTGAAGGATGGGATATGGCGTGAATTTACTGGGTACAGAAGAATAACATCTGAGTCCTCAGGAATGGCAACGCAGGGGGGGTATAATGGGCGAAACAGTATACTCTGTTATGTCCATAGTACTGCTCATGTTTATAGGCGACGGTTACCACTTTCCATCAGGTGGGCCGTCAGCTTGTTTACCATTCTAAGTTGTATAAAAAAAAAAGAATTCAAATTTGCTTTATTTATTTACTAACGTTTACGGACTGGAATAACAATATGCCTATCTCCTTATCCATCTCATATAATACGTATATACCAAATTTCATAGTGATTCGATAAGTCGGTAAGACGATATAAGATTACAAACAAACAAACTCACTTTTACATTTATATTAGTAAGGATTTTCTTTCACTAACATACAGCTATAACGCCTACAAGAAAGTTAATAACAATAATGTTTTACAACATTTCTGCGCATAATTATTCCTAATCGGTAATAAAACAAATAAACGGTGAAATAAAATAAATATATGTACTTTAATTTATATTAAAAAAACACACTTTTAATTGGGGCAAACCAATTATTTTGTTTAAAAAACTAAACTATTTTTAGTAAAATACTTACAAATAAAGAACCTTAATTTTGTTGTTAAAAAGCTTGTAAGTACATATTATGTGAAAAAAAAAAAAAACATTGAAGAATTTCCACTGGTTTTCAGTTCAGAATAATAATGTTCTAAGTTCACTGTTACAGTTTTTCTCAACCTGTCCCTTTCATTTTTACTTATTTTATATTTGTATTTTAACTTAATGACAGTTAGTTTAACTTACGTATAATTTGGTCGAGGAAGTTCTATTAGTTTCGAAACCATTCGGGGCCCGCCGAAGCGTGCAGTCAGACTCACGCTTGCGTCACTACCGCTCAAGATTAAGGGTTCCGATTGGTCGTGAAACTAGTCGAGCTAACTTGACCAAATCACTACATAGTACAAAACAAAGTTGCTGTCGCTGTCTGTCCGTCCGTATGTATGCTTAAATCTTTAAAACTACGCAACGGATTTTGAAGCGGTTTTTTTTTAATAGATAGAGTAATTCAAGAGAAAGGTTTATATGTATAATACATGCATAATATAGTAGAGGAACACTGATAATTTTATAGGTTTCTAATGTGATGTGATATAATAGGCACCCGTGCGAAGCCGGGGCGGGTCGCTAGTTACATATAAGTTAAACCGATAATTATTACATTAAAATGGAACCTCAATGATTTATCATCATCAACTGTCCACCGATAAACATAAGCCTGCCCCTTGGGGGGATTTTGCCAGTAGTTGCCGCGCTTGGCATACAGATTGGCGACCGCAATTAGGCTTCAGAGATGTTCTAAGAGGGACGCTGCTGCTCATTCCTCGCCTTCCCTTGGTCGCCTCTTATGACACCCATGGAAAAGGAAGGGGTGGCCTATTCTATGCCGGGACCACGCACCCTTAATTATTTATACAAACTTTTTTAATATTTCAGGTACATACATCCCGATTGTCTTCCGAAGAGGTACGGTGGTGTCCGGGACGAGGTCTCTTTAGAACTATGGCTCACTAAGATCAAACAGTACAAGAACAAGGAGTTTGATACCGATATGAGAACCCTGGGTTACTCCGTCGATTGACACTTAGTCATTATTGTTTATGGCACGGTTTAAAAAGGTTTATTGGGCAGAATTGGTAATGTCTTTATTATTTGTAAGAAGTCCTATATTAGAAAGAAAGAAAATAATATTTATTAATTGCTTAATTTCCCATTTAATATATTTTTTTTATTATTTTGTTTATTTATAAATATCAAAAATATTTATTAATAAACAAAATAGAAAATCACTGAAATTACTACAGTTAATTATATCCTACATTAAACAATCCTTCTTACTAAATTTAAATACAAATCATGTAGACATATTCAAAGAGATTTGTTTATAAGCACTTTTAAATCGTATTTTTTTTTATGAAAATTATACTGTACTTATTTTACATTGAAATTTAATAAAGTTAATTTTTTAAAGTAGCTTATAGCCGTTAATTCGTACACGTGCATTTCAACCGTGAAGCAGTTGTGTATCCATGGCTGTGTTTCGGTTTGAAGGGTGGGATATGGCGTGAATTTACTGGGTACAGAGGAATAACACCTGAGTCCTCAGGAATGGCAACGCACGAGGGGTATCATGGGCGAAACATTATACTCTGTTATGTCCATGCTACTGCTCATGTCTATAGGCGACGGTTACCACTTTCCATCAGGTGGGCCGTCAGCTTGTTTGCCATTCTAAGTTGTATAAAAAAAAAACTCAATTAAATGGACCACAAAACACATGCAAGATAATATAGACTATAGATACAACTGTGAATACCACATTCAATTCGATGCTAGTTCTTGCATGATGTCGAAACAATCATATGAACAAACAGATAGACAGATAAATTTTCTAATTTCTCCTATTATTCCCTCATGACAATATTTCATAAATACCTCCATATATAGACATTAGTTACGATTTTAATATATTATAATAAGAAATGAGATAAGTAATTTATTAGCACTGAAATTCTGTCAATAAAATACTTGTACTAACAGACCTTTATTAATAATTACAAAGGCAATTTCTATTTACATTACATTTATATTCTATAATTAAAGAGCAATAGAAATATATCTTTTTTTAATAACATTCATTAATATTAACTCGATGTATATTTATTTATTTATCCGAAGCTAAAAAGAAATTGTATAACATAGATACTATATAACAACATTATAAAAAATATAAATTAAAATTGCAGTTCACTTACAGTCAAATATAATTCAAATCGTTTTTCCTTTTTTATTTATATTATATTCAGTCTACTTCGTAATTTATATAACCAATACAGTTATATAAATAGATTAATCATTTCACACTTATTTTTATAATTACTTATTATTACTTGTATATTTAAAGCCACTTGTTAGATATTAGAGAGACTTATTTGTATATTTAGAGACAGCCACAGATAATGGAGATACTTGTATATTTAAAGCCACTTGTTAGATATTAGAGAGACTTATTTGTATATTTAGAGACAGCCACAGATAATGGAGATACTTGTATATTTAGAGCCACTTATTAGATATTAGAGAGACTTATTTGTATATTTAGAGACATCCACAGATAATGGAGATACTTGTACATTTAGAGCCACTTGTTAGATATTAGAGAGACTTATTTGTATATTTAGAGACAGCCACAAATAATGGAGATACTTGTATATTTAGAGCCACTTGTTAGATATTAAAGAGACTTATTTGTATATTTAGAGACATCCACAAATAATGGAGATACTTGTATATTTAGAGCCACTTGTTAGATATTAGAGAGACTTATTTGTATATTTAGAGACATCCACAGATAATGGAGATACTTGTATATTTAGAGCCACTTGTTAGATATTAGAGAGACTTATTTGTATATTTAGAGACAGCCACAGATAATGGAGATACTTGTATATTTAGAGCCACTGTTAGATATTAGAGAGACTTATTTGTATATTTAGAGATAGCCACGGATAATGGAGATACTTGTATATTTAGAGACAGCCACGGATAATGGGGATACTTGTATATTTAGAGCCACTTGTTAGATATTAGAAAGACTTATTTGTATATTTAGAGACAGCCACAGATAATGGAGATACTTGTATATTTAGAGCCACTGTTAGATATTAGAGAGACTTATTTGTATATTTAGAGACATCCACAGATAATAAAGACATTATCAACCTTCGGTAAAATAAGAGAGTATTGAAATCTTAGATCAAGTTGATGAGTGAAAAAAAATGAGGAATAGAAAAGAATATCGACTTGTATATTAAGAAAATTATTTGGAAACCATACACTTTTCTATTTAAAATTAATAATATATTTAGACACATTTATATATATAAAAAACAGGATGTAATCGAGAATTGAAAATCAGTTAACTTGAATACAAACTATTGTGATAACCTATTGGTGCTATTAATCTGATAACATAATTTTAAACTGTTAAATAGTATGCATTTATTTTGCTACCAATTGCATCCTTTATACATCTTTAATACCATTATACACATTTACATAATCAAGTGTAATTAGATTATTTATAATTATATTATTTAAATATGTGTACAGTAATAAAAACTATAATTCATTTCTGTTTCAAAATCTGGCACTGAAGTAAAAATATTGACTCGTGCCAATGTGATTTTGTACCTGGCAACACCATAACTGGATGTCGTAAGAGGCGACTAAAGGAACTTAATGGTAGACGGATGGGCAGCTGTGTACACCGTAGCTTTCTACCATCATACAGCTCGCCATCAACAGGGTGTTCACCTTCATACCCTAGAGCCTAGATGATCACGTACCCACGCGGTTTCAGAGATATTTTCTCCTACGAACGCTTAGGTTATGGAATGAGCTCCCTGTCGATGTTTTTCCAAGAGACTACAGCAGGGGGTTCTTCAAAATGAGGTTTCTTTAGGGTCGGCAACGCGCGCGTAATACCCCTGGTATTGCAAGTATTATAGGCTAAGGTAACCACTTACCATCGAGTAGGCCATATACTTGTTTGCCACCTCAGTTATATAAAAAGGCGTTCCTCTTAAAACATCTCTAAAAGCCTACTGCGGTTGCCAATCCGTCTGCCAAGCGTGGCAACTACTGGCAAAACTCCCCTTATGGGGAAGGCTAGGCTGCTTATGTTCAGCAGTGGACAGTTAACGGCTGAAATAATGAATGACGAACACCCCAACAACAGGTAGTGTCATTTTCAAAGTATAATAAAAGTATAGACTTGAATTCAAATTGTATTTTTATAAACTCGGGCTCAAAACGACTTGCATCCAGAGCCGTTAAACACATTAATAAAAAATAAATAAGCTCTCTCCCTTGTACAGCTCTTTGTAACGATACTCGCTCGAAATAAAATATTCATTGCCACTTCATTGCCAGATATGAAAACAGAAATGTGTTTCTAACATATAAGTGATATAACATTTTTTTTAAATAAATTCCTATTTTAAAATCAAACAAAATATGTTCCTAATCGAATCTATAATCATTGTACCTAATGGACAATATTAAATCAGGTAAATGTACCTCATTACGGGATGGGGAGCAGTATTGTAATTTGAGGAAAATAATTATACATATATTATATACATATATATAATATAATAGAAACAAATAAAAATTTCTTTTTTTATTTTTTATAATTTATATTTTTTGTTTGTCAGGAAATTAATTGTATATAATTAAAATAAAACATATTTTCATCTTAATTTTTAAAAATATACTACTAATTGTCTATATCTCTCGACTTTTCTCATGTATTTACGTAAAAAAAGAAAAGAGAAGCCGAAAGATACAAAATTAAAGGTACCTTAGTGGTTAAAATTAGTTTAAAGTAGATAGAATGAATATTAAGTAATTAATAATTTAAAATATGGTCCATCTATCTATTAAAATTCTAATTTGTTCGATCGTCCAAGCGTGACACAGTAACAAACAGTACAATTCACATTTATATTATAGACTTCAAAGGTGTGTTCTTATCTGTTCGTCACCAAATTTTTATGACAATTTAAATTTCCTACTAATTCTTTGGTGATTAAAAAACATCAATGAAAACAAAATCAATTCGATTGACAGTGGTAAGTTTGTCCCCAGCTACGTTTTAATACAAAGTTAGTCAAATTTAAACATGTTAACACTTATCACAATGACTACAGACAACAAATGCCTCCAACTACTCTATTATATTTTGCCTAAGTCTACTCTAGTCTCTAATTCTATGAGAAAAAGGCGGTCAGGTTCAAAATATATTTATAGTTATTCATAACGTACTTCTGGGAACGAATTAACTGGCAAATGATTATAAACGCTCCCGTTTTTTCGGGGAACTGAAAACTCTGTGATTATGAAGAATGAATTATGAAAAAGTATGAAGATTAATTTTACATCAAACTCATTAATTATGAATCAAAAATATCTTCTAATAAAATAGCGCTAATTTATCCAACGACGAAGTAGTTATAATCAACAGACTTGAATTTGTTATTAATCTCAAATAAGCCGCGATTTTGTAACAATAACTTGAAATATAAATCTTATGAAAATATTTTTTTAAAATAATAGTCAAAAACTTTTTGTTTTTTGTTATATTTATTTACCATATATTTATTTAAAAGAATATTAACGGACAGATATCACTTTTAGGTGTCGACAATTTTTTTTTTATACCCTTGAGATGTGAGCAAACAAGCATACAGCCTATCTGATGGGTATAAGTTAATAATAAACTTACTCGTTGTTGACAAATATTTTTAATACACTATCGGTACGTAACACTGAAAAATTTTAGGTAAATACATACTTGCTTTTTTATTGCCGACGTTTCGACTACTTTTTACTGCTACTTACTACCTGCAATTTTTCATTGCGTTAAATCACAACAGTGTATTTAAAAAGTTTATAACCAAAAGTAAAAAAATACACACACATCTCACTAATGGATTATGCGGAGAATGTAACACAAAAAAAAGACAAATTTTTTATAAAATAATTTTTGTTACAATCAACCGTTGTGATCGCAGAATAATGTACATTTACCTCTTTATTTAGATTAGCGAATTCTATACATTAGTGACTAAACGGATGAAGGTGTTTTTTAGTAATTATTTTTTAAATGCAATATGGTTTTTAACATGTTAGATGGAATAGATAGATAAAAATTTAATGAGCTTTATTGTGATGTTTTATGTACCTATATAATTATTAGTTTTGATGTTTTGTATTTGTAAATTAAAATAATTTAGGAAATTAAATTAAAAATTAAATATTACGCCGACTCCATAATAGTTTGGGGTCAAGGCGGAAAGGTAATTGATAAGAAAATTGAAACTAAAATTTTACAAAAAATTAAAAATTTATACGAAATAAAGAAATTATCATTTATTTATCATCCCTCACTAGTGCCCCGCCAGCATATACCGTTAGCGTAGTGGGATTATCATTCCATTATCAACCATTAAAAAAAATGGCAACGCATGGGGGACATCATGGGCGAAACACTATACTCTGTTATATCCATGGTACTGTTCGTGTCTATAGGCAACGGTTATCACTTCCCATCAGTTGAGCCGTCAGCTTGTTTGCCATTCTAAGTTGCATAAATATATATATTCACCTATCCAGCTGAACATAAATTTTGTTTTCTTGTAAACCAAAGTCTACCAGAATTGTTGTGAAACAAAGAACACATTACATTGAATTACAATGTATAGAAATAACAACGAAAA